GAGTGTATGCAGTGGGGTTGAAGATGTACGGGGTAGGTTTAAAAATGTAGTGCTAGAGTGTTCAGCAGAAGTTTGTGGTTACAGGAAAGTGGGTGCGGGAGGGAAGAAGAGAGATTGGTGCAATGATAATGTCAAAAGAGTAGTATGGGAGAAAAAGTTAGCATATGAGAGGTTTTTACAAAAGTAAAAGTGATGCCTGGAGGGAAGAGTATATGGAGAGAAAAAGACAGGTTAAGAGAGTGGTGAAGCAATGTAAAAAGTGAGCAAATGAGAGAGTGAATGAGATGTTATCAACAAACTTTGTTGAAAATAAGAAAAAGCTTTGGAGTGAGATTAATAAGTTATTAATAAGGAAAGGGGAGTTATTAAATGGAGAGTTAGAGGTATCGGGAAGATGGAGGGAATATTTTGAAGAATTGTTAAATGTTGATGAAGATAGGGAAGCTGTGATTTCTTGTAGGAGTGAGGAAGAGCCGGTTGTGAGTGTGGGAGAAATTCGTGTGGCACTGGGTAGAATGAAAGGGGGTAAGGCAGCTGGGATTGATGGGATAAGGATAGAAATGTTGAAAGCAGGTAGGGATATAGTTTTGGAGTGGTTGGTACTATTATTTAATAAATGTATGGAAGAGGGTAAGGTACCTAGGGATTGGCAGAGAGCATGCATAGTTCCTTTGTATAAAGGCAAAGGGGATAAAACAGAGTGCCTAAATTATAGGGGAATAAGTCTGTTGAGTATACCTGGTAAAGTGTATGGTAGAGTTATTATTGAAAAAATTAAGAGTAAGACGGAGAGTAGGATAGCAGATGAACAAGGAGGCTTTAGGAAAGGTAGGGATGGGGGTTGTAGATCAAGTATTTACAGTGAAATATATAGGTGAACAGGATTTAGATAAGGGTAAAGAGGGTTTTGTGGCATTTATTAATTTGGAAAAGGCATATGAGAGGTTGGATATGGGGACAATGGGGCAGATGTTGCAGGTGCAAGGTATAGGAGGTAGGTTACTGAAAGCAGTGAAGAGTTTTTATGAGGATAGTGAGGCTCAGGTTAGAGTATGTAGGAGAGAGGAAGATTATTTCCCAGTAAAAGTAAGCCTTAGACAAGGATGTGTGATGTCACCGCAGTTGTTAAATATATTTATAGAAGGGGTTGTAAGAGAAGTGAATGTGAGGGCTTTGGCAAGAGGTGTGGAGATAAAAGGTAAAGAATCAAACACAAAGTGGGAGTTGTCTCCGTTGCTCTTTGCTGATGACACTGTGCTTTTGGGAGATTCTGAAGAGAAGTTGCGGAGGTTGGTGGATGAATTTGGTAAGGTATGTAAAAGAAGAAAATTAAAAGTGAATATAGGAAAGAGTAAGGTGATGAGGATAACAAGATTAGGTGACGAAAGAGTGGATATCAGATTGGAGGGAGTATGGAGGATGTGAATGTATTCAAATATTTAGAAGTGGACGTGTCAGGAGATAGGTCTATGAAGGATGAGGTGAATCATAGAACTGATGAGGGGAAAGGGTTAGTGGTGCACTTCGGAGTCTGTGGAGACAGAACTTGGTCCGTGGAAGCAAAGAAGGGAATGTATGAGAGTATAGTTGTACCAACACTTTTGTATGGGTGCGAAGCATGGATGATGAATGTTGCAACGAGGAGGAGGCTGGAGGCAGTGGAGATGTCCTGTCTGAGGGCAACGTGTGGTGTGAATATAATGCAGAGAATTCGTAGTTTGGAAATTAGGAGAAGGTGTGGGATTACCAAAACTACTACTACTACTACTACTAATAATAATAATAATAATAATAATAATAATAATAAAATAAAAAAATAATAATATCTTCATTTACTACAAATACATGTACATGGTATACAGGCCGAGCTGACGTCAGTGACATACTACTTTATAGAAAGCCCCATGTTATGCAGAGCATTTCAGGCAAATTAGGTTAGTTTTGTCCCAGGATGTGACCCACACCAGTCGACTAATACCCAGGTACCCATTATAATGATGGGCGAACATAAACAACCGCTGTAAGGAAACACGTCCGATGTTTCCACCCCTTCGCCAGGAATCGAACCCGGACCCTCACCGTGTGAAGCGAGAGTTTTTGCCACCAGGCCACGGGGCACTAGAAGGCCTTTGAAAGAAAGAGAGAGTACTAAGAAGAATTACATTAATCAACCTAAGTCCGGTCCGACACCTAGAATACAACAAGAAACAGGAGTGGAAACCCATACCTACAGATTTAGTTGGAACAGAAGTCAAGTGGTTTAAAACTGGCTAGGGTTCCTTGTTAACTCCCACCGGGTGGAGTTTAGCTATATTGTTAGGTAGGATGTAACATTTACACTTTCTGTGCTCAGTGATAGTGTTGAGTAGCTGCCCGCAGATGACAAGCTACCTTACCTATCGCCTCGCTTGCTTCCCTATTGGCTTCTCTGGAGTAGCTGGACAGGAGCAGTCCACAGGCGAGTCACGTGAGCAGTTGCATGATCGCACCCGAGTGAGGAGCCGCCTTGCCTTTCCCTCTTTCTCTGCTGTTGCTGGTCTGACCAACACTTCCCTCTCTTGTCTCTGGTTATGTTCGTTGTTTAGACTGTTTTGGTAGAGTATGTTTTCCGTGGTGAACCAAAACATACTTCTCGCAACTCTATGTGACTCTGTTTACTGAGCATAGCCTAGACCTAGTGATTTTCGACGTTTTACTGAGGTTGTGTGTTGTACTGACACCCAGGTCCTGAGCTGTAGCTTCCTACCTGATTTGTTCTGGTATCTGCTCATTGTCGTAGTCGGGGATTTGGGTATGCTGAACTTAGATTCAGTATTAAGGGAGTTTTATGCCTTTTGTGGAGGATCTGTAGAAGGTTTCCAGTTAAGGTCGTTATTTTGTCTCTTTGTTCCTGACTCCATGTTGCTGCTGCTTGTGACTTTATTGCTGTTGGCAAAGGGTCGCCATACTGTTCAAGCAAGCTGTTCTGATCACTAGGTTGGCCAGGAATGTTGAGAAATGGGTTACCAGCTAAGTTTATAATTTTAAATATAGGGAATACTTAGCTGATAAAAGACAGCAAATCGTCTACACAGCCGCCCCTGCAGACGAGGTCTTGAATTGTTGTCATGATCTCTCAACGGGCTGTAATAGATCATATTATGTAAACAATAAATTACCCCTAGGGGGTGTTATGTCAGCATATTTCATTCAATGATTGCTGACAAACTTACTTGTGTGGACTCAAAAGTCCGCACCTCACTGCCGACTATAGGTTAATAACAGAACTGCGCAGTCCCCTGTACTACAAGAAATTCGTAACCTACCTTGCTCTTGTAGCGTGAGCTATGGTGTTCTTCACATCTTCGACAGGCATCGGTGACTTGATAGAAGCTGAAGTGTCCTTGGATGTCCACGTCTTCCATAGTCTAGGTATATGCACACTGGTACACTATGTTCCACAAAATTTGTCTATTCTTCACAATCTTATCACTTAAGAAGATGATCACACTTCTCTTAAGTGTTTACTGTGTTTTATGAGATACTTTGTTCACACTAACGCACGGATCAGTGTTCTTTGTTGGCTATCCTGGCGTCATTGTGACTCTCAGCAGAGTCAAAAGTAATCTGAAGACGTCACAGCGTCCTACACCGTCACTACCCATAGCACATAAAGGAAAAGCTGACCTAGTACTTTTTGCTTCCTTGCTAAACTTCCACTATAAAGCAAAGCAGAATGCTTGACTCTTGCTGTTTTAAGCATAGACAACAATGTACACTATCTTTACCATGGTAATAAAGTGGGAGCAGGATTTTCCTTAATTGTCCTGCTAAGGTAAGAGATGGACTGTCTTTTATTAAAATACACTTTGCAACACTGGAGTCTTGCACGGAGCAGCGGTCGCTTGACCACACGTCGCATACTGGTACTGCATCTGGGATCAATTACTTGCTGTAGCAGTAAACAAGATGCTTGCCCCTTCTGAGAGGGCTGGGCCCCTTAGGGCTGAAAGGGGATGAAAGGGGCTGAAGAGGGCTGATACCCCCCTCCTGGAGAAAATTTCTCCACAAGGAAGATAGATTATCTGAAGACGTGTAGTCAGTCACTGGTTAAGTCGAGTCGAGTCTTGAGACATAGCAGACTATTTGAAGCACATACACACATACACATTCACTTGTATGTATATATTAGTATTATGTTTATAATTGCTGACAATGTACCAGACGGTACTTAAGAGCCATACAGAGATAAAATGTGCCTCCAGCATTATTATACAGTATAACTTTTGCAATGCGAGAGAAGTGTAGGAACTTATATCCTATATTATATAAAGTATTTACTTGTCCACCTAGACAACTTTAATTTTGTTAATAAACATATCTTAATATTAATTCGATTAGTAAACTTCTAGTTGCAATTCTAAATCGCTATTAAACTTATGATAAACTTTAACGGATAATTGGACCAGGATACTAACTACTTGTTACAAAAACCCAGTAACAAGCTGAATGCTAGATGGGCAGACCTTTCTAGTATTCACTGGAGATGTCTATGCTTAACAGATATCGCGTTTTTTGTAACAGGAATGGGGGTGGAGAGCTAACGATGCCTGACCATGCATTTATGCGTCCGCTAATTATCTAACGAACTTTTCCCTCACAAAGATGCTATTAAATTCTGAAAGAAAGAGTAGTAAACATTTGTTTACATTTCGTGAAAAACATGGAGGCAGAAGCACTGTGTAAAAACAATGACTGCATATTTTCTTCAGCGTCTGGGACCTGCAGTAGTACAGGAAACAGAAAAGTGGGGTTTTATAGTGAGCAAATCTACAGGTTACATGTGTGTTGAGGGGAAGTACGGGCCTCTAAACATAGTGCTCCTTTGTTTTCATATTCTTACTTCGACTGAGCAGAAATCGAAATATACAGTCTTTTATCACTTGGCTTCTGTCTCCATGAGGGTTGTTTCACAACTCATTATTTTTGCTTAATTATTTTTCTTCCTATCATTTGAGCAGCAGAAGGAGTTGTATGAGGCAGCAACAGGCTTCTTCAAGCTTCCTCAAGACAAGAAGGAGCTCTTTAAGTTCGATATCAACGAGTTCACCGGTTACTTCTCTGTGGACACTGAGAAGTGAGTTGAACTTCATTATATTGAGACATAGTGATCTGAGATTTTGTTAACACGCTGGCCATCTCCCACCAAAGTAGTGATACAATAAAGGAATCACATTCATCATCATTCAAGAGCTGTCTTGCTAAAAGTGAGCAGACATTACAAGAGTACAGGCACTGTACTTCCAACGAACAGTACTCAAGTCTGCGTAACTGGTTACCCTGAATCCGTTAATAAATGTTACCTTGTTCGCACTCCAACTGTACGTCAAGCCCCTCTCCCCCTCCCCTCTCCCGATAAAATTGCCTCCATTCCTTCTAATGTGCTCACACAAGCCTAATGGACGCTCATCCCCCTTTCATTCAAAATTTCCTTGACCCCCCTTCTTCCAACCCATCGTTGAACACCTTATACTCATTCTTCCTTCCCAGATTTATACATCCCCTAGTCATTCTATTCTGCCCGATCCTCTCTAAATGCCCATATCCTTCTCAGTCCTCTGAATTTTACGATTGGTAACGATAAACTTTTCTTTCCATAGCTGCATTAACACGTATCAGTTCCAACTTAACCAAACATAAAACCGCAGAGCAGATAACAAGACTGCCAGAAATTTGCGCAAGTGTTACCTTCTTCCCTTCGTCTATTCTACGATTCACTTTGTCTTTCTAGACCCATCTATCGACACACCAACTCCCAAATTTCTAAATTCATTCGTTTATTCCATTTCTCCTCTTTCCATTCTTATATCCAATCTTTCATTGACTAGACTGTGTTATTCTCATCACCTTTGTCTTTTCTATGTTCATTTTTAATAACATTGCTCCTTCCATCAAGCTCAAAGCTAAATGAGAATCTAACTCTTTGCTTCTTTTCCTGGATGTACATGACCATCGCTCGGTGACAGGCTTCTCTTTTTCCGTTTATCGCAAACCATTACACAGTAGCATGTACATTCACATTTTTCCTTACCATGGTTTCTCTGTCAAAAAAGTATTCTTATTTCTCTCTTTCTCCGTGCCCTCTGCATCAGTTTATTGACTCGAAAGCTTCCACCTTCGCAATTCTTTTTCTTGCTTGGCTACCCTTTATATTTTTTAAACTCTGTCTTCACACATGCTAAACGGGCTTTCTTCTCTCCCAAATTCTCTACTCCTGTGAAATCTTCCGTATATTTCTAGTCTCTCATATCTTAACAACATCTTCCGTTCCTTAGATTCAAACTTACTTTTCGCCAAACTAATACCCATCGTATTAATCTAGTTAGTGCCTCTCCGCCTGCTACTGATGCTTCTGGAGTCTACTCCATTTCCTGTTCCTCCTCTTATTCTCTCCAGTACTTTGGAGAAATTGGCCGCTCTTTTTTTGACAGACTTTAAAAGTGTTAAGCCTTTCCTACACTTTTCTGTCATGTCAGAGACCTCAGGCATCCTATTGACTGATTCTCTGTCAAAACTGTCCACCCCTCTAGCCTTCACAGACGCCATCTTGTAGAAGCATCCCTTATACACAATATGAATCTTAGTCCTTTCTTTGTCTCAGTAGATATCTAGCTTTCCTTTCTCATTACATTGTCAAAGGATGCAAACGTCAGAACATTCGTAACTTGACCTGATCTTTATCTCCTGGTCCTTACCTCTTCTTCATTCCTATATTTTCTTTGCCTTTCCTGTCTTCTGCCTAGGTAGGTTATCTTATGGGTATTAGGCCAGGTAGGATTTTGTCCTACCCTCATGTACCATTAGCTCTCCTGCAGTGATCCTCTTTCCACTTACTTCTACTACAACTGCTGTCTTTTCCTTAAATCTGCAGCCTATGGCTCATTTTTCACTACTACTACTACCTTCATATTGCCAATATCACTGTTGCACTATTTTTTTCTATTACTACTACTATTAGCATTGCTATTAGTGCTAAACCACCACTACTACTGCCACTTCATACTACTCCCTCCTCCCATTACACCATTCACGTCCCTGCACACCTCACATATATGTTCTGGTTCCCTTCCCTCAACACTACTGTGTGACTAGTCAGTACTCCAGTTCAGACCGAAATGCCATCATTAGCTTCTGTCTCCTATGTGATGGTTATTTGTGTATTGTTCGAGTCACGGCATCGTGCTTTTTTATTAATTAGCCTTTGCATGTTTCATTTCTTTTAGTTATACTTTCTCAGCACAGCCAAAAACAATAATTGTTTTTCTCTGTCAACGGTTTCCTCTAATTGCACAGGAATATTTAAAATTGTGTTTTGATCTCAATGCATTTATTCTCTATGTTGGTTCTGCTTTTAACTCGCTGGATGTTTTCTTTTTTAAATTCTGAGCTTTGCTAGGTATGAAAAAAATTCCCGTATCAATCTTATTATTCCTTGGTTTACCTTACACTGATCAGTTCCATATTTATTACGAACAGCATCTGTTACTTTCATTATTTCTAATACTTTCATTTCTAATATAGATACACTTTTTATTTGTTGTTGGAGTTATTATCTTCCAGAAACATAAATAACGGTTTTACTGTGTAGCTTTTCATAATGGTTTATTTCCTTTGTTATATAGTGTAATCAGGTTTAAGCAAGTTGTTAGTAGTTACGTATCTCCGACTGTAATGTTGTTCCTGCACCACACCTTCACTACTTACCTGCACCACACCTTCATTACTTACCTGCACCACACCTTCATTACTTACCTGCACCACACCTTCATTACTTACCTGCACCACACCTTCATTACTTACCTGCACCACACCTTCATTACTTACCTGCACCACACCTTCATTACTTACCTGCACCACACCTTCATTACTTACCTGCACCACACCTTCATTACTTACCTGCACCACACCTTCATTACTTACCTGCACCACACCTTCATTACTTACCTGCACCACACCTTCATTACTTACCTGCACCACACCTTCATTACTTACCTGCCACCACACCTTCATTACTTACCTGCACCACACCTTCATTACTTACCTGCACCACACCGTCATTACTTACCTGCACCACACCTTCATTACTTACCTGCACCACACCTTCATTACTTACCTGCACCACACCTTCATTACTTACCTGCACCACACCTTCATTACTTACCTGCACCACACCGTCATTACTTACCTGCACCACACCTTCATTACTTACCTGCACCACACCTTCATTACTTACCTGCACCACACCTTCATTACTTACCTGCACCACACCTTCATTACTTACCTGCACCACACCTTCATTACTTACCTGCACCACACCTTCATTACTTACCTGCACCACACCTTCATTACTTACCTGCACCACACCTTCACTACTTACCTGCACCACACCTTCATTACTTACCTGCACCACACCTTCATTACTTACCTGCACCACACCTTCATTACTTACCTGCACCACACCTTCATTACTTACCTGCACCACACCTTCATTACTTACCTGCACCACACCTTCATTACTTACCTGTACCACACCTTCACTACTTACCTGTACCACACCTTCATACTTACCTGTACCACACCTTCATTACTTACCTGTACCACACCTTCACTACTTACCTGTACCACACCTTCACTACTTACCTGTACCACACCTTCATTACTTACCTGTACCACACCTTCACTACTTACCTGTACCACACCTTCATTACTTACCTGTACAACACCTTCACTACTTACCTGTACCACACCTTCACTACTTACCTGCACCACACCTTCATTACTTACCTGTACCACACCTTCACTACTTACCTGTACCACACCTTCATTACTTACCTGTACCACACCTTCACTACTTACCTGTACCACACCTTCATTACTTACCTGTACCACACCTTCACTACTTACCTGTACCACACCTTCATTACTTACCTGTACAACACCTTCACTACTTACCTGCACCACACCTTCATTACTTACCTGTAACCACACCTTCATTACTTACCTGCCCCACACCTTCATTATTTCCCTGCCACCCACCCCTTTCCCCCTTTTTCTTAAACCTGCCCACACCTTCTTTTACTTACCTGCCCCACACCTTCTTATTTACTGCCCACACCTTTTTTTTCCTGCCCCCCCTTTCATATTTTCCTGCACCAACTTATCTTACCCACCACATTTTCCCTCCCCTTACTATTTTTAACCACCCTTATACTTCCTGCACCACATTTCCCTACTTACTCACCAACCTTCCTACTTCCCTGCACCACACCTTCATTATTTACTGCACCACCCCTTTCCACTTCCCTCACCACACCTTATACTTACTGCCCCACCCCTTTTATATTTTATCCCCAACCTTCATTCTTCCCGCACCCATCTTTTACTCCCGTCCACCCCTTTTTATTACTTACCTGCACCCCCCTTAAATATTCCTGCCCCCACATTCACTACTTACTGCGCCACCCCTTATTTCTTTCCGCACCACACCTTCATTATTAAACCTGTGCCAACCTTCATTATTACTTGTGCCCACCTTCTTTTACGGCACCCCCTTCTTACTTCCTGCCCTCCCCTTCACAATTACCTGACCACACCTTCATTACCTACCTGTCCCAACCCCTTACCCTTAAACCTGTACCAACTTCACTACTTACCTTACCCCCCCTTCTACTTCCCCCGTACCATACTTCATTTTACCTGAAACCACCCCTTTAATACTTACTCCCCACCACTTTTACTTCCCTGCCCCAACCTTCTTTCTTCCCTGTGCCACCCCCTTCATTATTACCTGCATAAAATTTCTTTTATTCCCTGTACCACACCTTCACTATTCCTTACCACCCTTCTTACTTCCCTGCACCACACTTCATTATTCCCTGCCAACCTTCATATTTACCTCCCCAACTTCATACAAACTGCACCAATTTCATACAAACCTGACCACCCCTTCATTACTTCCTGACCCACCTTCACATTTACCTGCACACACCTTCATACTTCCCTGCACCAATTCATACTTACCTGCCCCACCCTTCAATTTACCTGCACCACTTTCATACTTCCCTGCACCACACCTTCA